GACAGCACAGCCTAACCCACAACTGCTCTGTTCCAGCCTCTGCCAGTCTGTGGTACTGCAAAACGTTCAGCTCCACCAGCAGGTCTACCCAAAGTGGGCCAAAATGTGCTGATAAATAAGCACTGGGCACAGACAACTTAGGGGACACAGATCCCACAGCAGCAGGAATGGAACAGAAAGAGGGAGAACATTTTCTTCCATCTAAGCCCCTGCTGACACTTCAAACCTACAGAAACACCAGCTGTGGCTGCCCCATCCCTGGAAGTGTCCAAGGCCAGGCTGGATGGAGCTTGGAGCAACCTGGGCTAGTGGAAGGTGTCCCTGCCCATGGCAAGGGGTGGAACTGGATGAGCCTTAAGGTCCCTTCCAACCCAAACCATTCTGAGATTCTATGAAATGCACACAAATGACATTAATGCTGCTCTAAATGATGCAATAAAAGAATAATGAACAAACTGGTTACTGAAATCTAATTTCACCAGCAATATTAGCATAAAGACATTAATAATTTTTATTGTTCCTGAGTGGTCATTACAGGACAGAATTAATGCTGTTTGGTCTCTTAATTATGGACGTGAATTTTATTTGTACTGGTTCTTCTGATACATCTTAATTCTGCAATAAATTTTAAGGGGAAGAATGACAAATAAAATGTCCAATTAAATTAAGAATGAAAAAAACGAGCCATAAGCCTCAAGATTTTACTAGGACCAGGACAAACTGAAGCCCTGGCTGAGGCAGAGGACAGATGTACTTTTTAATAGTTCACTCAAAGGCAAACAATTCAGAATTTCATTCCTCAGCGTGGCGCAGGAGGTTTGGTGTGGAGATCTGGATGAGTGTTTCAGGCACACGAGGAGCTGCCTGAACTGAAATTCCCCAGGCTACAGCTGAAGAGAACAGGAGAATGGAGGCTGGCAGGGACCTCTGGAAATCCTCCAGTAAATTCCCCTGCTCAGAGCAGGGCACCTGGAGCAGGTTGCTCAGGCCCATTGCTTATCTGTCAATATATCACATTTTCCAGAGCACCGTCCAACCACCAGCTTCCTCCATAAGCATCCAAGGCAATTCCAATTCGAGCAATTCAGACTCAAAAGAAACCAAGGCAATTCTCAAAAGGCAAAACACAGTGTCTTCCACAGCCCTGGAAGCAGACAGGATGCTGCAGCTACTCAATATTCTCATCACTGAACTCGTGAGGCCTCAAGGGAAGGCAGAACCCTGCACAGGTTGGGATGCAGGCATGAATCCCATGGAACCTCCTCACCAGAAATAAGGTTTTCCTGTCTTACTGTGACACGTCCCTGCTGGAACCAACGGTTCAGAGCTTTAATTAAGTTGCCAATTTATCAGTGTTCAGACCACAGAATGGGGATCTGTTGAGATAGGCACCTACCAACACCTCACTGTAACCCAGCTGTGGGAGCAGCCCCCGGGGTGCACACGCTAACTCCAATATAAATTTTACAAGTAAGATTTTTTACTTTAATCATATTTTAATGCAACGCTTTATTTACACGACACTGCAGGACACACAGTGCACTTAGGGATTCATTCACACATGCTGCAGTGAAGGTGTCACTGCCCAGCTTCCCAGACGGACACGGGAACAGGAGCACAGCCTTAAATGCATTTATTCCTCCTAACCTACCTGAATCTCTGCGCCTGGTGATGCACTGGCCCTCCAAACCGTCGAGCTGGTGAATGACACAGCTGCGACAACAGTGCCACATTTTTGTTCTGGTTAGGGTTGGCTGCAAACTTCACTGTAATGGGCTCGGAGGAACCTGGGGGTTTGTGACCATTGAAATTTGTAATTGCCTCTTCTGCTTCTGACCTTTTGTCAAACCGGATAAATGCGACCCCTCTGGACAAACCTTGTAACCAAACCAATAAAGAAACAGAAAGGAAACAAAAAAACAAAACAAAACAAAACAAAAATAAAAAAATTGAAGTTCAGGATAAACTCAAAATAACTTTGAAAACAAAAACCAAAAAAGTTCAATATTTCTGTGGTCACAGCTTTCAAGTTCTCTACATTTACTAATGTTTCTTCAGCAGCTGGAGGATAAAGTACAAAATTAAGAAACCAAGGACAAATTAACACATTCATTTCAGTTATAACAATCACACTGACTACAACACTTTAACTACAGTGTGGTAGAAATTCATCACCAACTGACAATTCCATTAATAAAAAAAATCCCTCCCCAACATTTTAAATTAATTTATCAAAAGAATTAATTTCAGTTGCTTAAAAACAAACCCAAACCCCTTAGTTTCAATTACTTTATCACTAAAAAGCATCTGCAAACACAGAATTGACACATTTTTGCAAATGTTTTCATTTTTCCATCCTGGAAACACACTCGGGTTCAGATATGAGGGAACAAAGGTCTGACTGTAATAAAGGAGTTTCATCTTTTAGAATGGAGAGATCACTATTTCATCTACACCACATTCATTATTTCTGGCTGGCACACACATTATTTTAATTCATTAAAACCAATGAAGAATTACCTCTTAGTGACTGCGCTGAACCAATTTCACAGCTGGTTAACATGTGGATATTTTAAACATCTGCATATTTTTTTCCTAGTCCCAGCCCCTGGATGCCCTGTGAGCTTCCCCTCCTCCCCTTGATTCTCATCTGTGACTTGACCATAGGTTGAAAACATGGTTTATCACAGTGAACCTAAAAGGGCAAATTTTGTTTAAAAGCAGATATTGTGGCCAGAGTATTTGTAGGATTTCACCAGCTCTGTTTCAGAAAGGGACACATCAGATACTTTCACGTTTTCTTTGCACCCACACAGGGCAATCTTCAAAGCCAGTTTCAGAATTTAAGCTTATCATAAATCACAAGGTTGTTGATAACAATTTAAGGATCATTTTCCTTGTTTCACAGAAGGAATTGCATCATGCCAAACTCTGGGCCTGCAGCAAGCAAGGTGTGTTTGCATTTGGGGCACTGGGAGAACTTTGATGAAGAACAAGAGATGGGCTCAGCAGATTAGAGCTGACAGCACTAAATGCTCAGGTACCTCTGGGATCAGCCTCCTGTGCCAGGGGGAAGCTTTGTCCCACCCTGGAAAAGCCCAGAGCAGCAGCATCACCCAGATGTCAGCAAGGCCTATCCTAGAGCTCAGCTTACTGTGACTCCTCTACTTTCATGTTGCTCTTCCTAGTGCTTCTCATTTGATCTATCACAGCATTAATTCAAAATATAAATATTGTAGAAGGCGTATTTTTAAACAGAATAATTTTCAAAAAGCTAGAGAACCACCTCTGTGGGAAGGTGCAGCTAAAAGTACAAATCAAAATGTGTCCTAAGTGGGACTAGATCAAGATATCAAAGGCAGGTTTAAAGCCACAGCTACATTCCTGGTGGGAAAGCAAACCCAGGCTCTGGAGGCATTAACTTTGTGATGTGGAATCCATTCTTCAATTAATTCATCATTAATTCTTCAATTAATTCATCATTCAGGCTATTGGAAAGCAGGAGGTGTGTTGAGCTGAATTACACAGCATCAGGCCTCAGCACAGCCCTGAAAATTCTATTATTCTTGAAGAGATTTTATTTGTATGACTTCTGTCATCTCATTTTACAGCTCTGTCAAAGTCAGGTGCTACCCAGACCCCACAGACTGCCAGAGGGGGATGATTAGTTTGGACACCTGCATTAATAAGTTTGCTGTGCTCCACGAGTCTTTTTCCTGCTTCTCTCTAGAGCTGCCACCTGGATAATCAGCTCTAGAGACAGAACCATGCAGGTATCAGAGTTGGACAAAATGAATCCTCCTCTCTAGGAAGGAAAGGATGGGATTTTCCTCACTCAGCCACAGTGTCTATCTACAGAGTCAGTCCCCAGATCTCATCCAGTCCCCTCGGATTCCTGAGCACAGTTGTGTTTACAGCGTGGTCTGACCAGATGGAGACACTTCAAAGCAGGTTCCTGCAGCAGGAGCTGGCTGTGATGGGGACCCAGCACTGCAGCCCTCAGCCTGCACTCAGATTGATTCCACCACATTCCTCACAGAGCAGGAAAGCTGCTGCTGAACTGATGTGTATACATGTGTATAAATGCATGTATTCCAGTTATAAAGGTTAAATGTGGAATTGCTAGAATTAGATTATCTTCTACTTTAACACAGCACAGGCATCATCAATGAAAAAGTGTGTTTGCAGAAGTTCTCCCCAGATTCATACATGACATACAAGGCACAGAACACCTGGGTGACAGGATAAGCGAGACTCTGCATTTACCCAGTCTGAAATAATGAGGTAAGAAATTTAAACTCTGAAAACACATTGTAACAGTCAGAATTACCATCATAAAAAAACCCCTTAACTTTGGTCTCCCCTGAGCCAAGTGCTTAACTCAACTTCTCCCTTTTCTTTTTATTTTCTTTTTTTAAAATAAACAAAAGACATTCAGAACTTTCAGGGCAGTACCAAGTGTATAAAATTCATTCTTTTGCTCAGCAGTAACCACAGAGGCCTGTAAGACACCTCAAATGGTTTAAAATATGAGAAAATTGAGTGAGTTTCAAGATGGTATAAAAGACAAAACATATTGTTTTGCTTTTAAATCTGTAACTGTGGCCTGGAATTTGCCTGTGGATAACAACTGCACGTGTGTAAAATCAAGGCAAGGTCAACACTCCAGGTTACACACATGGCCCAGAAGCACAACTGCACTGCAGTGACAGCAAGTGTCAGAGCAAGAGAGCAGATCTGGCAAATCAGCAGCTGATAAAAATGACAATAATCCTATTTTGATATGATCCAAGGTTTGGGCTCCAAGCTAGCAAAGGAGGCAGCAGAATCATTCTGTGTTTAAAAAAAAAAAAATCACTGGACAAGGGTATCCTGTGAAAATTCTATCAGTGGTTAACACCAGATGTCATGGTTAGCTTGTGGAAGTCTAATTTAATTAAGTTTAGGGACTGCCAGTGTCAGAAAAGCACTAAACATGCTCCAGTTTAGTGCAGCCAAGGCAGCAGAGCTCACCTGTGGTTTGATCCACGAGCACACGGGAGTTGATGATGCGCCCGAAGCGGGAGAACATGTCTTCTACATCCTTCTGTGTCATCGACCGGGGCAGGCCACTGATATATAAATTAGCATCCTTGATAACTTCAGAACTTGGGCGGGCATAGGAAACCTTTAAAAGAAGGAAAGGGATGCTCAGGGTGTTAACAGAGAATCATAGAATCATAGAATCAGTTGGGTTGGAAGGGACCTCTGAGATCATCAAGTCCAACCCTTGATCCACTACTGCTGTGGTTCCCAGCCCATGGCACTGATGCCACATCCAGTCTCACCTTAAACACCTCCAGGGATGGAGAATCCACCACTTCCCTGGGCAGCCCATTCCAATGGCTGATCACCCTCTCTGGAAAGAAATTCTTCCTAATATCCAACCTAAACCTCCCCTGGCACAGCTTAAGACTGAGCCCTTTTGTCTTGCTGAGAGTTGCCTGGGAAAAGAGACCAACCCCCACCTGGCTCCCCCCTCCTGTCAGGGAGTTGGAGAGAGTGAGGAGGTCTCCCCTGAGCCTCCTCTTCTCCAGGCTGAACAGCCCCAGCTCCCTCAGCCTCTCCTCATACGATTTGTGCTCAAGTCCCTTCACCAGCCTTGTTGCTCTCCTCTGGACCTGCTCCAGGACCTCAATATCTTTCCTGAACTGAAGGGCCCAGAACTGGACACAGCACTCCAGGGGTGGATATCAATTTATTTTGTCATGAGCCAATTTCATTTATTCCCCACTAACAACACAGGTGTTTCTACTGCAGTTTTAAAAAAATGGAACAAGGAGAGGGAAGGAAAAATTGATAAAAGGAAAAAGGGCATGTCCCTACATGACCCCATTCATTTTAGGTTCATCCAACAGATAACAAATACACTGGCACTGCTGTAAGGAGACAGCAGCAGACTGATACCAACACTCCCAGCAAACACACCTGCTGTGGTGAGGAACCCCGAGTTTGGACACTGTCAGTCACCACAGCTCACACTGGGAACTTGTCCTGTCAGTGTATTTTTTAAAGCTTCATGAAAAGACTTTACCAGCTAAAATGCAATTTTCTGTCTTAATTTCTGCTAGTAGAGAAAGTTACAAATATCACCTAAGCAGGTTTGACTCCTACACACACAGCACAGGCTGTTGTTTTGAACAAGGAGTGCATGTGTAGCAACAAGATTTAAAATAAACATCATGAAGTATGCAAGAGGCACCTGAATTTTTTAAAAAGCCTGGCAACAATTCAGAATGGTCCCTCTACTGCTGTAAAAATGGTGGGAATAATTTTAAAAAAAGGAATCTTTGAATACAAAGTTGTTTAAAAACACTCTTCTCCCAGATTCACCCTTCCTGCAGTTGGGAGCACACAGGCCTTATCACCAGAATGAAGTTATTACAATGCCATTTTCAGAGAAGATAGGAAAACCTCCTACCTTGATAGTTTTTGACTGAAGTCTGAGGCCATTCAGTGTGTTTATTGCTCTTTCAGCATCTTTTGCAGTTACGTAGTTCACAAAGCCGTAGCCTAAGCTGTGTCCTACAGGGAAGAACATTTAAAAAAAAATTAATCTTAATAAAAAAAGTTATCATCATCAAAATGAAAGGCAATGCAAATGAGAAGAAGTGAATTCAACATAAACATAATCCACACAGCAAATACTTCAATAAGCCAAGGAGGTTTCCCAAGACTGGCACAGATCATGAGTAACTCGGAGCTCTTTCATTTCCACTCTGAGCATCCCTCTGTCTCCACAGACAGCAGGTGTTGGACAGAGCACCCACCAACAGCAAGAAATTCAACACTAAAACACCAACTCTGACCAGTCTTGTAAACTTTATGGGTGTGGAACAAAGGCAAGAACTTAAATAAGTTCATTGGTACAAACTCCTGTGGAGAGAGAGCAGAAAGTGCCAGTGGATGAATTGCCAGGTAAGAAACCACGAGGCTGCTCATCTCTGTTTGGCTATTCCAACCTCCACTCCTGGGGACAAGAGGGGAAAAGAAGTTTCCAATCCTTCATATTACCGCTAATGAGCAGCAAGTTTCCCAAACTCAGCACCAAAGTGAAGAGTGAAAAATTCTCTTCAATGTAGACAATTAATGTGCTGTCACTGTAGCTAAATTTACTCTTAACTCTTACAGAAGGAATTTGACACTAATAACTAAAATCTTTAAAGCATTTAAGGCAAAGGATATTTATTTGGATTCTTTGGATATTTATTTGTTCTCCTTCAATCTCCAATCTCCACAATTGCTACTATCAATTATAACACTACACAGCAAGATCATTTCAGGTTGGAATTTCCCAACAATTAGAGGCTCTTATCACTGTAGACCTAAAAATAACTAAAATACTTTCAAAGGCTGTCTCAGTGCAATGAAACAACTCCAATTCAATACAAGACATGTTTTTCAGCCAACTTCTCTTTTTCTCAGCCGGATCTATGGAATTTTCTAAAGAACATCGGAAACATACATAGGAAAATGTGCTATATACTGTTTTTAAGTTATTAAGCTCCATTGTTAGGCTTGAGGACACTAGAAGACAGAGCTAATTGTTAAAGTAAAGGAGTCTCCTGTGAAATGCAGCCCTGTTTTAATCACACAGTTTGGCTCTGCAATGGTCTTGACTGTCAAGGAAGGCTCCTTATGCTTTCCAGAACACCAAATACACACCCCCAGGTGTCACATGGTGATATCCTGGCACAACTGGCAGAAGAACTGAAGCAAAGGGCTGCAAGAGATACTGCAGATTAACTCCAGCTACTGAAAAAAAGAACCCCCAGTCTGCTGAGGCATCAAGATTACGAGTCTAAAATCCACAGGGGACTCAGTGTTGGTGCCAACAGCCCCGTGACAGACTGACTGCAGAACTGCTCCTGGCACAGCCTCTGCCTTTGGCTGCTTCCTTGTGAAACCCAACCCAGCAGTAACTCATCTGCACCCAAACAGTGTCAGTGCCTGTTGTCTAATACACCCCCTGCATAAACACTCCCAGGTAATTCTTGCTGTCTGCCAAAGCTCTCAGAGCAGCCAGATCTGCTCTGTGCTCAACCCTCACACAGAACCAACTCCTGTTCCCCTGCAGACCTGGTGTCAAACATCCCCACCAGCCTCTCATGATGCCACACACTGCACACAACTGAAGGCAAAACCACCCTGTGACAGCCAAGTAGGATTTTAACTCCACACAGAAAACAAAAAATCCCAATAAAAGATCTTAAACACCAACCTATGCACCTTTATCCCATAAAGACCTGCAGATAATGTCTGCAAAATTCTGATCAATGTTTCTTACATGTACCCACAGCACAGCTTTTGTGGTTTCTTTTTAACATTCACTTGGTTTTATTAGTTGCACACGGTCAATCATTTAGATAAAATCTGGTTGGTACACACCCACTTACCTACAGAGATTCTTTTCCCTTAAGAAAATTAATAATTTAATAATCAGAAAAATGTTCAGCACCTGCACCCTGCCCTATTTCTCCAGAGTCTGACCAAGAAAACAAAGATAAGTTCAAGAGGGAACAAATACCAGGTGAACAGTTGGCAACGACTTTTCCCTCTTACAAGGGTGGGAAGGGCCCAACACCCCTCACAGGTCCAGCACCTCAGCCCTGCTCTGAAGGCTCAGAGCACCAGCTGCTTTATGGATATTTTCAGTCTGTCCCAGAAGTCACATAAACACGAATATTCCAGCCAACTACTGAACAGAACCAGGTCCTAAAAAAGCTCATGGAAATAGGCCCTTACAGACCAGGGAAACATATTCCAAACAAGACTTGCTCTATTCCCTCCAAGTGTGACCCACACTGAGCACTGGCAGTGGATGGATGCTGCACTGGGGAGGGTGTGACTATTCTCCTGACAGGTCAAAAACAGCAGGATTCCACACCATACAAATCTATTAAGCTGCCTTCAGTACACTGAATATCCTTCCCTATTCCCTTGCAACAAGTTCCCAGAGAACACAGTAGGCATAGGATTGCAGATCATGGAATGGTTTGGGTTGAAAGGGACATTAAAGCTCATCACATTTCACCTACCTGCCATGGGCAGGGACACCTTCCACTAGACCAGGTTGCTCCAAGCCCCGTCCAACCTGGCCTTGGACACTTCCAGGGATGGGGCAGCCACAGTTTCTCTGGGAAACCTGGGACAGCCCCTCACCACCCTTGCACAGAATAATTTCTTCCCATCTAACTCTATCCTCTGTCAGTGGGAAGCCATTCCCCCTGTCCTGTCCCTCCAGGCCCTTGTCCCAAGTCCTTCTCCAGCTCTCCTGGAGCCCCTTTATGCCCTGGAAGGGGCTCTCAGGTCTCCCTGGAGCCTTCCCTTCTCCAGGTGAACACCCCCAGCCTGTTTCCAGAGCAGAGGGGCTCCAGCCCTTGGAGCATCCCCGTGGCCTCCTCTGGACTTGTTCCAGCATGTCCATGGCTTTCTTGTATTGGGGTCCCCAGAGCTGGAGGCAGCTCTGCAGGTGGGGTCTCACCAGAAGGGGAGTAGAGTGTCAGAATCCCCTCCCCTGCTGCTCACACTTCTTTACTTTCTCCCAAAGCATCAGACAGGTTATGTGTTTATGCAGTTTGAGATCAGTGGGTCCAGTCCCTGGAATCACAAACTGTACATATTCCCTTGCCTCAAAGCACACACAAGCCCACAAAAGCAGTTCAGATTTTTGTTCCCAGGCACTCTTACTGGAAGCATGTTCTACAGCCTCCACCCAACACCCTCCTTTTCCAAGTGGACATCTTCATATTCTGTGTCCACTTGTTCCTGTACAAATCCTGTCCTTGAGCTTCCACACACTTTCCCTTCCAAGTGTCTGCCTCCAGAGCACCCACACACAGTCACCATATCCTCTTGGCCTTCTTTGCTGTTTCTGTCAAAGCAAAATTCTGCACCCTTTTCACTTCCAGTTTTATACAGGTTGCTCAATGACTATTCCTTATCCAAGAGTTTGAAAGTTCTGGGAAATGAGGGAGGTAATGGGGTTTACACAAACAAACACAGATGAAAAAAAGAAGCCCCTGAAAGTGGCAGGATCACAACAGTCAGACATTCTCATATTCCATCTAGGAATGTGACAATAAGTTTGACTAAACCCCAATACTACAGTCCTGTTAACTTTTACCTGTCACTAGGTGAGAAAATATCAATTACCTGTATTTCTGTACAATAACCTAGAATGCAAATCATCCCTTAGTCTGTACTTTAAACTCCATCACACCATGTAGTCCTTAAGCACTAGGAAAACCCAACCCATGCACAACTGACAACATATATTAACTTATCTTGCTCTAAATACCCAAAACCATCAGCCTGAGCCATCTCCTCCCACTCAGTGACCAGTGCTCATCACTGCAGGAGGCACATTCCACCATTCCATCACGGTTCCCCCTGCAGGAATGCTCTCTGCTTCACAGTTTCACTCCATGTTCCCTCCTCCTAAAACATACACTCTACCTGTGTGCCAGGCACACCAGGAAATATATAAGGAACTGGCATTCACACAGCATTATGACTTGTCAAGTGTTTAGCCCAGGCAAGAAGAGAAGTTCTTTGCTTTCTCCTGATGTTCTCAGCCTGCTAAAGAAACCTGTTGTGCAAAGGAAGGTGGTGCTGTAACAATTTTCAAACCATTTTAGTGGATAATAATTGAAAATATTTTTTAAAGTTTGCATAGACATAAATAAAAATGTACTAAAGAGACAAAGCTAAAAAAAAAGAGCAACAAGTAGGTCCTTATCTGGATGAATAATTAACAAAGTGACTATAAAACCTAGTTTTAAGCAAAATACTACACTCCTTCAGCAGAAAGAATCCAGTTTTGTTTCCATGATAAAAGGCCCTTTCATGAGAAAGGGCAGTCGTTTTCTTTCTGTGCATCACTTGGGTTTCTGTCCATGTCCCTGCTTCCTTTCCCAGCTCCCAGGACACGTGGCTTCAGTCACCAGCTCCTTCCTTATTCCCAGCCCACTGCTGATAACTCCAGCTTCACCAGAGAGTCTGACAGCAGGGCAGAGCACTTCACTGAGAGCAGATACATCCTCGCTGTCCTGTCCTTCTTAAGGAACCCCAGAATTAACCCCAGCTCCTGTTAGGTCAGTGCACCTCAGTATGATGGTATCTTAGTGTGCAACTGCTTCTGAACTGGGAAGCAGCGTTTGGAGGATGTAGTTGGGTTTGGGTTTTTTGTTTGGCTTTACAAAGTGTGATGTGAGTGATAACCAGAGAACCTAAATATGCATGAATGCATTGAGAAGTACCACATAAAATATCAGGCATCAGCATGGTGAAAAAAGCAGAATTCAGAGTGGTGAGTGTAGTTTCTGAGGATGAGAAGAGATTAAAGTGCTCAGATGTGCCCTGTGTGGGCTCCCCTTAGCACAGTTACACTATTGTACAGCCAGGGATACACAGTCACATGAGCCCAGAGACAAATACAGCAACTCTTGCACCAAACTTCCCAAAAAGTGTTATGTCGATGGAGAAGTGAAGCCAGGTAGGACTGGGAGAGCAGGTGATCCAGA